GCTCGTCTGTTTCATGTGATTCGTCGCCAACAATTTTCTTAACTTATTTTAGCTTTTACGATGTGAGTCCAGTCGAGGTCTTCCTATTAGGCGATTGCATCCTCCGGTATACCACTCAATTGATAATTGCCATGAAAATCAATTGGTCAACTGTCAGTTCTGCGACTTGCCCATTGTCGCTGTCTTGCTTTTGAAACCGATACAATATCTTCATTCTCGCATGTTTTCTTATTTCATCATTCCGCATCTTGTCCATGATGCAAGTTTCTAGCATCCTCCTTTCCGTAGCGCATTTTAATATGTTTTTGCTAATGTCCAGGTCTAGCAACCGTATAAACATTTTGGCAGTACCATGCGTCCGTGCAGTGTGGTCTTAACCGAGTTTCTGTTTTCAAAAATAGCAGAGCTTTTCAACCTGGTAAGAAGTCCTTTAGCGAACTCTTGACCAAAGGAGTGGCTTTAGCCGATTGGGTCTCCCAAGTAAATTTACTCAGTCATTTCTTTCATTTCGTAATCATTGACGTTAAATGTAGCTAAATGTGCAAATTCGATTCCCACGATTTTCGTCTCACCCTGTTCAACCTGCATGCTCATTAACTCTCGCTTACGGTAGATAACATACAACTACTATAGAAATGAAGACTTCCAATGGAAGTCGGGTTAACGAATCCCTGGTAGGGAGAAATTGATAGATGTGCATGCCTTTGAAGACAGTTCTGTCTCGGTAAATGGCACTGGCTGCAAGCCTAGATGGAAAGATTGGTATTTACTTTCTCTATTTATTCCTGAAGCTAACATAAAAAATGAAATGCTTTCGTCACGATGTCTACCGACGTGACGACCTATCGACAACTCTGGTTGGAGGTCGCATTAAGTGTTACGCAAAAGTTTTGTGGTTCTTTCCGTAATTTTCATTCTCAATTACGAGAATGGAAGGTATGATGGTAAGATCTTAGCCACATTTTGTCGCGGGACTCGTATGAACGTTGGCGTCCGGTCCTTCCCATAGGGTTAGTCGTCAGAATGATCTGCTCTTAAATAAATGTTCCATAAGGCGTGAGGCTCTAACAACTTCGGTTACCAGAATCTCATTAACCGACCATTTCAAGGGTCATTGGTCATTATCAGCTCTCGGCGATGGACAATCCAATGGATGTAGATCAATAATCATATTCAGAACTGTAGTCCATACTAGTCATATATGAGAACGCTCCACGCTTGTCTTATAGACAGTTCTGCAAAAATATGTGGATATTAAAGTATTTTGTTGACTTATGCCGTCTGGCACCAATCTGTGGCGGTTGACATTTATGGCCGACTAATTTGCGGCTAGTCTGATTGTTTGTTTTCTCACAATGCCTTATTTTTTGTTCTCTTTTGTTTAAGTCGAGACTGTGCCTCCTTTGCAACGTCGTTAAAACCGTCAGGTGTCAGAAATTAACGTCTTTCACACTGGATATTTGTATGAGTTTTGCTGTCCTGGGCGTTCTTCCGAATTCCGTACATGATGTGTGCCCTGACAACACAACTCGTTTCCGTGTCGCGCCATTTGTTTGGTTCCCTGCGCTGCACTTCGCCTCTCGCTGTTTGGCCCTCTGTCGGAATGTCTGCCCCGTCCCGTCCCGTCCCGTCCCAAGTACACGTGCCGCGCGTGTCCTTGGAGGAGACTGGATATTTTGCTGATTAGAGAGCCACCATTTTCAAACAACCTGTTTCGCTGTCAAACGGCGCGATACGCCTTGGCCCAGCTGTTTCCGTTTCGCCACGTCTTGTGGATTCCAACGCATTGACGGTTCAGTTCCGACGACAACTTCACGTTCCTCGATCGCTGAAGCCGACAGCTCTGCTCTGCGTCTACCTCCTTGTCGCCGTTGTCTGCTCCTTTAAACAACCAAGCTCAAGCTGTGATCACTCACCGAACAACTCACTCGCTAATGACCGATCACTCGTTTAGACCCAACGGATCTGTCGGAGTCAAGAGCACCGTCTTCTCAGACGTGTCGGTTCCCGAAAAGCCCCGCCCGCGGCCTAAAAACTACATGAAGTCGAACATCTTCTGTGAGGAAGAGGACACCAACGCCAATGTCAAGGTAAGACTTCATACGTTGCTTGCTATAACTCTTTTTAATAACCGTTGCTTTACTGAAACATACAAAACAACTTCTAAACACCATAAATAGAGTAAATGACAAACGGTCTAGCAAGAAGATCGTTAATTCAGACAGAAAGCGAAAGGTAATATACTATGAGTAATATTTAACCTGTTTTCACCCCTGTCGTTCGCCGCAAGTCTTTCAATTGGAGTTGCAGAAACGTCGAGCCGAATACTGTATCACATGCACTATCGAATTCTCAATATAACTGTTCGAGTTGTCTATCTCGCTTGATAGAGCACAGGTTGATATGACTGAAGAACTATCTGTTTATTCCAGTTTTGATACCGAAATTACTGGCGTAAGTATATCGTTCCCTTGCATGTAGTTCTGCGAGAACATACTGAGCAGGCCGAGGCTCCCTGGTATTTCAGAAACTGCTGTGCATTTGATGCGCGAGTGCATCACCGAATTAATATCTACAAATGCACCTTTGATCACCGACTAAATCTGCCACTAACCGTAGGGAAATGTATGCACAAAAGAAAACCTTGATGTTATGTGGCAGTCACCAAACGGTAGCTCAGCTAAGGAAAAGTGTTTCATGTTTAGGTTTCGTGTTAAAATGACAAAATCCTTGTAAGCGTAAATTAAATTAGTTTATTAATTTAGAATTTTAATTAAATTATTCAATGAATAACGTAGCGACTGACCCCAGCACATGACGTATAGGCGGCGGGAAAATTGCCAATCGACAATATGAATATCAGGACTTATGGCAGGCTAATGAGGATCTCTTATGAAATATCAAG